CACGTAGTCCAAACCCCCTGTCCAGCCTGACTTTGAACACTTCCAATGATGAGGCATCCACAACTACTCTGGGCAACCTGTTCCAGTGTTTCACCACCCTCATCATAAAAAAATTTCTCCCTTCTGTCCAACCCAAATCTACCCTCTTTCAGTTTAAAACTGTTTCCCCCTGTCCTGTCGCTAAAGGCCTTGGTAAAAAGCATCTCTCCATCTTTCTTACAAGCCCCCTTTATATACTGAAAGGCCACAATAAGTTGTCCCTGGAGACTTCCCTTCTCTAGGACGTTCTCTATCCTTAGAACTGGTTCCGGGCATCCCTCTTCAGAAAGCCTTCCAGCACACTCCATCTTTATTTAAGTGTTTTTTCCCTTCCAAATTATTTTTCATAGCATGAGTTCATTGCATGACCCTCTTTAAGCATGTTCACGGCAGTGCTTGGAGAGTTCTGCATCAAAAAAATATTAAGCCTCAAACCTGAAGTTTCCCTTCTTAGATATGCTCTTGACCAGCTCAGTACCTCTGCAGAGATTTCTTATTCCAGCATACACGAACATGGAGATGAGTCCACTAAAAAGTTTCTGCTTAAACACAGCAGTAGTCTGGACTGGGTGGCTCTTCACAGGCATGGGAATGGCCTAGTGTCTAAAGTAGCCATCAAGCAGAAAATACCTGCAAACCCCAGTGTACTCCCTTCCTACCTCCTCCCACCTGCCATCACACTATAGTTGGTGTCCTGGAAAGAAAACTTTTTCCCAGAAGGTGACCGGTGAAACACATGGCTTCAAAGAGCACATTCAGTAGAAGGAACTGGATTCATTTTAACTGAAGTCAGCCTACATGCCATCTCTGCTGACAAACCACTGACAACATTTGATCTGCCAACAGGCCCTCATCATAATACCCAATACCTGTAACTCCTGAACAAGTCTAACTTATATCACCACTAGCTTCTTCAAGGATGCTCATGCCCCAAACATGCTTTTGACCTCCTGGATTCAGTGGTGACACCCAACAGTTAAGTAAAGCTGGGCTCAGTTGCATCATAGCTGTGACACACTCCTGCCCCATAAATACCAGGTGCACTTTATTATATAGTAACACACATAATAGAAGACAAGTCTTTAAAGGTCTGGATCTTTTGGAATTTCAGAGTAAAGCAAAGCAAGGAACGATTAACACCACCTCTCCCTGCTTCTCTCCCCCCCCACCCCCACCCCCTTACCAACTCCCTTCATACTGAAGCATTAGAAATACAGCATGGAAGAAATTATGTTTTCTATTTTCTCTTGTCCTGTGCCACTGAGGGCAGGAGAGAAGATTCATTTGCACCGTTCACCAATCTTTTGGTACATGAGAACATCTTACCCAGCAATTAACACGCAATCCAAACAACGGGGGCAGAGTTTCCAAGGTACCACTTAGCTACTTGAGATAAACACGACATTAAAACAGGGGGGAGGGGGGAAACCCGCAATAGCTCGGCATACATAAATGACAGGCTGCCTTCCCCATCACAAACAGCCATGGCTTTAGCAGCGCCGCTCCGCAGCCTCCTCACATCAGCCCTCACCTGCGCAGCCCTGTCTCACCTCCCGGGCTCCTAGGGGAGAGCCTCCCCACCTTGATCCTACTGAAGCACTCAAGTGTGAAAAATGCTATTTAGAAAGGCTCATTGAGCGCACACACCCCACCCCCGCAGGTAATACTATTACCCTCATAATTCCCTTCTAGACTTCAAACCCGTTTTGCTGCTAGAAGCGCTGGATGCTAAA